GCCTGGTGTCAGATGCATCGTGAGATAAAACATCGCAAAAAATCTCCCACTGTCATCAACATGCAGTCTCAAACAGTTGTAAACATGCAGCCTCCTACAGTGATGATGATGCCTGGAAACCCTGGTTTTATGAGCCAGACAAGGGTCGTCACACACTGAGCTTTGCAGTTTCTCAGTTGTGTCTTATGAAGGAAAAGTGATTCAAATCATCCTGCTGTTTTTTTACAGGGTGACTTTCAGTTTCTTAACAATCATGACTTATATTATTATGCTCTAATTACAGTAATGCTTGATAGAAAATGGCCAATTTTTTACCTTCAACAGTTCCAAATGCAGATTTACTATATCAAGAGCTCTATAGTTATAATAATACTTAATACTTAACTTTTACTTGTTATAACTTGGGGTAAATAATAATAATCTTAGCATTTCATCTTTTTCCTGTTGTTCCCCCTGTCGAGAGATACAGACTATCTGTACGTGAAAGCAGGTCTGGACCCCTTGAGAATTTTGTATAAGTTTGTACCAAAGTGAAACAAATTAAACCAGTCATACAAGCCACTGAAAGAGTGAATCGGTTTGTAAGAACACCTGAAAAGCAAACTAAACAAACTACAAAAGCTGGTTTAGTCACCCTGTTGACTGAAAATAAAAATTTGTCGTGTGTAGTGTGTCTCAGTGGTAATGTGTAACGGGCCAGTGGGATGACTTCCTTCTAAAAGCAAAACTTATTCACAGTTTTCTGATTTCTAACTTTTTTTTCATACAAGCACTTGTTTATACCTATTATACATTTAGTTCTTCTTGTCATTCATTTATCTAATCAAGCACTTGAATAACATTTATTTACAGTTTTCAGTCAGCAGTTTATATTTGTACAAACAAAAACACATATTCATAAATTCATATTCACTTGTTGTGTCCCCTAAAGTAAAATATCTGAGTACTTCATCTAGTGTGCCTCAGTTTGTTCTTTGAATTTGTGGTTTTGGTTGCAAAAACAGCAACTTGTTGCCTGTGCAATTAGAGATTTACAAAAAGACAACACAGAAGGACAAACACAGAAGGGAACGGTCGGCAGCTGAACCACAACAAGTACAAACAAAACTCTCCATCACTCACCTGCTAGTTTTCAGGTCGTACCCGTACACTGTCTACTAAAGGGCCAGCAGTGAACAGCAGGTGGTGCTGTCGAGCTTTACAGCAGGGCTGTATCATTCTTAAGTTGTGGTTGCTTCTTCAGGTTTCAAATCACAACCACATCCTCTGTTAGGTTTCGTTTCAGGTGGACAACTACATTTTTGGTTAACCTGCTTTAAACAGAGCAGCACCTGTTGTCAGGTAAAAAAAACTGTTTCCCTTTTGGGTCTAAAAAAAACTAATGAAAGCTCACAGGATGAAGGCAAAGGCATAATGCTGTTCATTATTTCCTAAATAGTAAACATGTTGGTGTTTCACTGCATAACTGTTTTTACATTAACAAGGAATGAAGAGCAAACAGAAAATCACCACTGAGATTTAGAGAGTTACCAACCTGATTAAAGTGCCGTAAACATCAGCTGCAAGAAACTGAGCTGAAACAAAAAAAGAAAATACGTGTTTTTGTAATGTGGGTGAACTGACCCTTTAAATACGTAAGCAGCTTTAAAATAAAACATTTTTCTCACCGGGTTTCTGAAGAAATGCTCCAGTTTCTAGTTCTAGACGTCGAACGAGCTGCTTCCACAGGTCCACCAACTGCTGTCTTCAGTCCAACATGTGGACTTTTTTCACTGTTTCTTTGCCGAACTGCAATGCTCATCCTTTTCCCACCAAAAGGTTGTACCTGCCAAACTGGTGACGTAGAGGATTCACTGAACACAACACCCACACTGTCTCACAATAGTTTTGCAGTCCTGTCCTATCCACTTATGATAGGCCCTATGGACTGCTGATTGCTTAACTCCACACATTAACTGATGACATTTTAGAGTACAATAGATCCACATCAGGTGAGGTGCAATAGCCTGACTTTAATATGAGTAAATGTTTTTAATATACATGTTTTATGCTATCTAAATATCATGAAGCCTACTTTCCTTAAACTTTTACATTATACGGTATTGAATACTGGTGAGTAACACATTGCTGCACAACAGTTATCACTCTTCAATCAATAACAGGATATTCACGGAGAGATGATGTTGCTACTGTAGTAAGGCAGGAGAGCAGTTTTGTGTTTATAAGGCCTTAACTGTCATCAAATGTCAGAAACTGGGTCACACAGACCCTCCTAGCTTGATGGATGTTATTATCCCAACCTGTTAACTTTTTCAGTCAAGTTCGTGTCGAGTTGAATTCTGGGAAACACCCTGCAGCCAAATCTAACCTGTCAACTCATCACCGTTTCGTAGTGGAGTGGATATTATTGCTGATTGAAAATAAATTATTTAACAATTAAAATAAAAATACAAGTGCAGAAGACAGGATGGATAAAATAAACCATGATTCCATAAATAAATGCACCAATGTATGAATCAATCCGACATGCATGGCTGCTTCCTGTGTACCTGTAGGGTCAAGATGCTACAAATTAATAAATAAATATAATGCAGATCATTCTAATCAGCATTTATCAAGTTGAAAAAACAAAATCAGTATTCAATGATAATAACTGTCTTTTAATCAAACACATACAGAAAGGGGAGTTTGTTTATGGACGTTTCATCTTTGTATGTTCCTGTATATGAATGAGAAAACTTTTTTAAGGTCAAGTGGGTGTAGCATTTACGATAAATCGTATGGAAATAGTTATAGTAAATTAAGTTTCAATTTCTTTATACCATCAAATTCAGGTTTTGCAGCATTGTTTGTGTTTAGCTGTCCTACTTACACAAGATGCCACTCCTAATCTAAAGCACATCCTTTCATTCATTCTCAGCTTCAGAGTCGGTAAGAAGGTTGCTGTCAGGTAAGACCTTTAAGTTTATTAATAAAACGTTTTACATCTTTATTCTAACTGGTAAATTAAAGTTTAATTCGACATGCTTATTTATACTGTAAGAAAAGTGAGGTTTCTTTAAATGAAAATGATTTATTTTCACTTCTTTGGTAACACAGTCACATGCAGCAGTTTTTGAATGTTCATATTAACCTCACCACTAAAACAGAGGCATCCTGGGTATTTCTAAATGTTACCAGTTGGATTGTTTGTGGAGCATAATGTGAGACTTTACAGCTACTTCATGGTGTGATATTGTGTACAGTTATATCCCTATAGGAGATACGTGTACAGGGATGTAAATCTATCTGTAATGGCAACAACATCTGCAAATTCTGGGCTCTACATTCTTTTAAGTCATTGTTTCACACCCTGTAGAATAATTCCTAAGACGTAGAAGGTATACTTATGTCTTTTATGTTAATTCTGAAGTAAATATGACTTTAAAATGCATATTGTTATTTCTCTGTCACTCAGTTTTGTGCTTGTAGCTAGAGAGACAATCTGATTTATCTGTTTCTTACATTTACCACAGGCTGTATTCACTAATACATTATATGTCGTAGCTACTCAACAGTAAGTTTGAGGTATTTTTCTCATATGTTATCAGTTCAGGACGACTAGAATTGGATTGTCTGAACTGTATATTGTATTGTATTGGGCTTTTGTCTCATTTTATTTTACCAAGTCAATCTGCACATCCTATTGAGAGGTTTTCCAAAGTAATTAGACAGTTAAACTGTCATTTTTCAGTCAAAGCAAACACAAATTATAAAAACATTAAAATTGCCTCAAGCAAAAGTAACATAGCTAACAAAGATGTTTTGTAGCAGTAAAAAGATTAAAACGACATAAGCCTTTGCATGTCTTGTTCCAAGAAACAATACGAGCCTTCTGCAATTTTTTTAGTTTTTGCTCTGATTTCTCTGTGTTAACAGCTTCATTGTTCACTATCTATGGCTTACACGGTTCAACAACCAATGGCAGAAAAACCCTTGATAGACTGGGACAGCGGTCTCTGTGACTGCTTTGAGGATGCGAGTACTTGTAAGAATTAGTACCACAAATTTGACTATTTCGTATTCTTTCGATTACATTTTTATGACCTTAGGTTACTTAGGAGGGTTTGTCACAAACTACTAATATATACCCATATTTTTCAGGCTGCTATGGTTTCTGGTGCTGTCCTTGCCTTGCCTGCACAGTTTCAGGACGATTTGGAGAAAACTATTGTCTGCCATTGTGCGACATATGCAGCCCTGCAATACTCACAGCCTGTGGGATACCATTTTTTGTTCCTCCTGCACTCTTGTCTCTAAGGGCCTCCATGAGAAACAGATATGGAATCAAGGTATGATGCATATAAAGCTGATGTATACTGAATTTCCCATGGTTGAAGCCATGTTTAATTAAAAACCTTCCTTATTTTTCACTTTGGTTCTCCTCAGGGTTCTATCTGTAAAGACATTGGAGTTTCCTGTTTCTGCGTCTGGTGTGCCTGGTGTCAGATGCATCGTGAGTTAAAACATCGCAAGAAGATTCCCACTGTCGTCAATGCACAGCCTCCCACCTTTGTCAATGCACAGTCTCCCACCTTTGTCAATGCGCAGTCTCCCACCTTTGTCAATGCGCAGCCTCCCACCTTTGTCAATGCGCAGCCTCCCACCTTTGTCAATGCGCAGCAGAACGCTCCACAGAGGATGGCTCCCCAACCTGTTTTCATGAGCCAACCATTCATGGTGTCATACTGAGCTTTGTGGCTTCTCATTGGTCTGCTGTCTCTCATGAAGGTAATGTGATTCAGATCATGCTGCGGTTTGTTTTACTGACAAAAATACTTCCTCTCTTGATAATCATGACAATTATGGTCTAATTACAGTAATACTTGATACAATACTTAATAACTTTGCTATTTGATCTTCTATGGTAATAATAATAATACGTAACTTGGTCTTCTTGTTTATGACTACAGGGTCAGATTATTTTAATTGTTTAAAAGTTTTCCTGTTAAAACAAACAAAAAATTAGGCAATCTGTGGTAAATCTGATCTGACCAATACAACTCATATTCAAACATATCCAACTGCATTAATCAAATAATTATTATTATTTTGAGTTCCAAGGTGAATTTAATATTTAATATTATGCACTTAACTTATGCACAATAAGTTTATGTAATTAGTATAAAATATAAAACTTAATATGATGGTGAACAGAATTTTTGTCTTAATATGTATTAAATTGTTGTTCATTTCGGTTTAATTTTTAAGCTCAAAATTCATTCATATTTATTGTAATTTCCAGTCAAATGTTTTTTTCTATCTGTGGGGAGATGCAGCCTATTTGCACATGACTCATACAGCAGGTCACGGCCGCTCAAGAATTCTCTATTAGTTTGTCCCTCAAGAGAAACAAATGCTCTTAAATCACTCGAACAAACCCCTAAAGAGCCAATATGTTTGTACGAGTGGTTCTTGCTAGAGGCCCCAAGTTCTCATGAGTTACAGGAGGCTGACAAAGGCTTGACCTGGCAGGAGTATCATAGTAATCAGCTGATCACATTAGAGAATACCTTTAGGAAATTAATGCCTGGCTGAGTCTATTGTAAATTACGGTGAAACATCATTACACAACATTACAGGAAAGTATGCTGAACAAAGTACAAGAGCTGGTTGACTGCTTTTGATTAGTCATCTGTACACAATGCCTTCATCTAAAACAGGGCTACCTAAAGTGAGCCCTACAGGACAAAGTAAAACGTTTTGATATAAAATTCCTGTTTTATTTTTTATGAGGTAAAAATGCTCTTTAAATATGTAAGATTATTTTTCTTTTTTTTCTTTTTCATAATCTGAGCATAGAGGGCAGAGTGACACTTTCCACAGGAAGTCAGTCAATTAAGGGAACTTGGGATCTAAGTACCATATTGCATCTTAACAGTACAGTACAATAAGGGTGTCCTTTTAGCCCATGACCCACCATTAAGCTTCAGTTTTTGGCCCTCAAACGGAAAAAGTTTGTTCTAAAGCAATACAGATTTCTAATTTCTAGCATTCAAATTAATTCCATAATAGACAATAAAGCTGAACTAGAGATTATGTTGCTTTTATTGCTGTCTAACACTGAGACTTGTAGCACCAGATTCAGGGACATACTGGTATGTTTAGTCAAGGATAAACTCAGAAGGCTTTGCTGTAGTTTTTTACTTACAAGCACTTACATCAATTGTTAATAGCCATTATACATTATGTTCTTGTTGTGATTAATTTGTCTAATCAAGCACTTGAATAAAATTTCTTTACACCATTTTCAATCTGTAGTTTGTATCTTTCAGAGATATTATTTGTTTTATATTCATGTGTTTTCATATCTGGTGTCGAATAGCGTGTCCTGCCACGAGTCAGAACATTTTGTGTATTAATAGTCCAAGATATGAAATCCAGCGTTTTCACAATCTTTGTATTTTCTTCCCTGTTAAAAACTGCTTCCAAAACGAGGAATCCTTTACCAGAACAATGAAACTGGGAGTCCCTCCCTTGACAAAAAACCTTTCAGAAAAACAGAAGAGAAAAGACAGACACAGGAAATTAATGTCAAGGAAGTTAGTATACCTTAAAGGAAATCTTGACACCATGGTAACACAAATTCAGTATATTCTCTAACAGATAATATCCTCTGAGATATACATTCCTCAACAGTACTGGATTGCAAAAGCAAAGAATCTTTGACCAGAATCTGGGACCACGACCACCTGACCACCATTAAAGTATAATATCACTGTTTCTTTCCCTTTGCTTCCGTGATGAGGAACACCAGGCAGCTGGTTCTCATTATTGTTATTTGTCTATTTTAATTTGAAAAACAGACTTCATCTCAACAGATTTACCTTTTATGCTGCAACACTTTTAAAAGTGACGTCTCTGGGTTTAGTTGGTAGAGAGTCTCCTTCTGCTCGTCTTCAAAGTACAGCTAAAAAGTGAGGAAAGGTTAAACAGAATGATTAATTATCGATTATAGTCATTTCATGTATTAATATAACTTTGCTGCTTTTGGTAATGAAGCATAATCATGGTTTGACAGTTGTACGCTTGATTACTAACAGTACCTGAATTCTTTATCTACATAATAACATATAATAACATATATTATCACAAGTTAAATTGTCACATTATTAAACTAAAAATGACACAGTATGTGCTTATTTTTGCTTAATCTATTGCAACATACTGTAACATTTAGGCAAAACACACAAACCTGCAAATTCTGTGGGTGGTATTTTCTGTCCGAGTCCCAGGGTGGAAGTTCTTCTCCAAACATGACCGACAGGTGATCTATGAAACTGAAATAAGACAAATAAAAAGATACAGAAGTGATTTTATTTAGTCAAATTGTGTATCCTGATGAGCTGCAATAGATTAAACGGTTACAACAAACACCGACATACACCAAATCTCACTCTCTCTCTCTATATATATATATATATATATATTCAAAAAGAAACAGAGCAGTTTACCAGTTGTTCTCACAGAAAGCAGAGATAAAGTCACTCTGCTGGTGTTCGGGATAGAGGAAGAGAACAGGCCACTGCAGAGAGCCCTGCTCGTCCAGGAAGACCTGAGCCCCCGTGACCTCCTGAGAGCTGAGGCCATCCAGGCTCAGCTGTGATATCGCTGCTGAGGCGCCTTCATCCTCACCCTCAATGTCTGAACCATGCTTACGGGGCTTCGCGGGCTGGAGGAGCTTGATGCCTCGATCCTGCACAAAGAACAGACAAATGTATCTGATAAACCCCATCAAGTTCACATGTATCGTTAAACATAGAATTTGTTTACAGATTTAAATGGTTTCATGTATAATATAGTGATTTTTAAATACAAATGCATATGAAGTTTTACAGATTTGATGCAAGCTGGAGTTTTAAATTGGATGCTCACCTTTATAGCAGCCAGAAGAGCTTCTTTCTCACCCTGCAGCTTTTTCTCTTTGGCCTTGGCTTTCCTGGCATCTCTCTCTGCTGCTCTCTAAAAAAAAAGGCACAAAAAATAAACATTATACTCGACTGAAACTAAAACCTCCACCCCAAAAATCAAATGAACTCATTAGTGATTGTACCTTGTGTTTATCTGCTGCTGCTCTCAGCTCCAGCAGCTTCTTGTCCGTGGGATGAGACTTGAGCCCCTCATCACACCACTGGATAGCCTCTGCAAAGATACGCAGCTCCATACAACACTGAACCCCTGCACAAACACACACAAACACATGCACGCCATTGTTTTGTATCATTATTCTATGCTGTGTTTTCTTTTGTACTATTCTAATATTTAGGAACTTATGACAAGGTGTTGCTGCAGGTGAAAACCCTGTGTGATTTATAATACATACCTCTGATCAAGGCTTTAAGGTGGTCTGGTTTGATCTTCTTTGCAGCTGCAGCATCATTCAACGCAGAGCGCATGTTACCTGTGAGATACAAACCGGGGAAGAAAATGAGGGTGAAATTAAGCGGGAAACATAGAATAAACGAAATATTTGTGGTGGCACTGATTCCCTCAGCTGATGAGGGAAAAAAAACTGAGAACCAGTTCCCAACTGTATAATGCTAAAAATATTATATTAATAATAAACAAATGCCTCTTTAATAAGGTTTTTTGTATAAAAGGGCTGCAGTGGAAATAAATCAATAAAGAAAATAACTAAATAAAGCCTCCTACCTCCGATGATTAAGACTTTAAACACACCACTATCAAACACATCACCAGTTTCTGTTTCATTTTATCCTATTTCCTTTATTCTTTCTACTACATCCCTCTGTGCTGCTGTGCCAATATGAATTTCAATAAAGGGAGTTCTTGTCTAATCTTAGGTAATCATTAGGCGAGCCAAACTCTTCACCAAGAACAAAAGGGACAGTATGTGTGCGGTCTCTTAAGCCCTAATGAAAGGGCGTGGACACACTGACTGGCCAAGACAGGAATGCACCGAGCTGCTCTCAGTCATTGTTTAGGAGTCAGTCCCCACACCCTGTGATTGTCAGGTTGTCTAAATTTACCCTCCAAACAACTCGGAGGCATCTTGACTGTCAAGACTTGACATCCAACTAAAATGAACTGGGGCGAAAAGCAACTAGCAAAGAACGAGGGACTGCTTCCTATTATTCTGTGATCCTTATTTATACGCATAATAAGCTTTATGGTGTCTTAAAAAAGCTATTCATGTGTCTGTATGGCATAAGACATAAAGAGATCCTGACCCAGGTGGAAGTGTGCCGCGGCCCGGTTGGTGAGGAGAACAGTGTTGAGTTCCTGGTCGCCACATTTCTTCTTCAGACCTGCGGTGTAGGACACTATGGCCTTCTGGTAGTTCTTCTCTTTGAAATACACATTCCCCTCATCTTTCAGGCCCTTCGCTTGCTCTGAGGGAGGAAAGAGGCAAAGTAACTGAACCATCAACAGTTTCTCAAGTTTAAAAAAAAAGCTTCACAGAGAGGCACAGATATCTCAGGTGTCTCCAAAAGCTCAAAGGGGACTGGTGGTACCTTCTGGGGGTCTGTCTTCATCGTGGATAATAGCCTGTAGGCAGGCCAGTTCTGGGTATTCCTTTGGGTCAATCTCTTCAGGGGCAGCTTTCATGAACATTGGTATTTTATTTAACTCCTGAATGAGAGACAGACAGATGGACATGTACCTCTATCACCTTAGCTACCAGTTATCTTAACAACATTAATTAAGGAGAGGAAGAAGAGCTACTGTATTAATCCCCACTGGAGAATTTATTGATTATAGATATGCAAATGTGTTAGCGTTACCTCTTCCCAGCTGTTTTCACTGAAGGCATTTTTATATCTCTGGGTCTTGAATTTGTCCATTAACTCGTCCATGCCATCGTCGCTCTCATACTGCGCCTCCGAGGACGCCATTTTGGCTCAAAATATGTTTATTTCTTTTATTTATAAGTTGTTTAACGTTGCAATTCTTCTGTAAATGATAAAAAGATTACAGCCCATCAGCTGGTTTCCCGGTTCTACAAGATACCCAGCTCCTTGTTTACACATGTGCATGGGTGGTGCAACGCGAATAAAAGTCCGTGCGGAAACACAGTGCAGATAGGTTTGTTCCGGCCAAATATATAAAATGACTATATACATTTACTCGTGTCATTTAAAGGTTATTTGACTGCAGTTGAGTATTTCCATCTTGTGTTTATTTATTGTTCAACTGGTTACCTGATTGCAGATAAGATTTTTCATACAAAACAGTCTTAAATTTAGTGAAATATGACGACTTGTTATAGACTGAACTGCCAACAGAATATAAAGTATCATTGGATGCTTGCTTTTATGTAACATTAATTAAGTTTTACATAAAATGTGCCAAATCTGCGTGAGTTAATTTACCTTTGATGGTTGTACTTTTTCATATTTAATTTTTACTTGTAATGTAGAATTTTTATATTGGGGTATTAGATGTAGAACAACAACAGAAAAGCAACAGATTAAGATTTTATGCACAAAGCCGTTAAATATATATGATGTATAACTTACTATAAACAACCTAATGTAACAGCAACAATAAAATGTTCATTTTTATCAGAATAAATACATTTCATGTAATAATACACTTTAATGTGGACAATGTGCATATTGAGCTACTTCAGTATTTACATCATAGATTGCGGTAATGCTACTTGTGCTTAAGTGAAGAAGTTGAGTACTTCTTCCACCAACTTTTATGTCATGGTTGTATTTACAATATCTACCAGAGGCCAGCATTGAGTCGTACTATGATGGAAGTTGTATGGTACAGGTGCAAATTCTTCAAACACAACAGCAAAAGGTCATTCTTTATGTTCACCTCTGTGGGCTTGTGTTTTTATTTGCACGAGGACATAAAAGGCTGCAAAAACTGAAATTGTGACTTTGTGAATTACATCATGAAAACCAAAAGCAATTTATTGAAGTACTTAAGTCCAATATCAAGCTTTTGTTATGACAGTAAGTTTATGCCAATCAGCAATGTAAACCAGTACATTGTAGGGTTTATAACTTACAAACATACAAGCAACCACCTTACTTACGTATTTCTAATTCTAAAGTGCACACAAACATAAAATAAAACATTTATTTCCACATTCAGAGTTCATACAGTTTCCACTTTCCCCAGAAAATCTAACAGTCCATCTTGACTGAGAAACATTGTCTCACCTGTCTGCTGACAGATCACCTCAAACCTGGGTGTTTCCTCTAGAGCTCTCTGTCCCACTACAATAACATATGGGTAGCCCAGTATGCTGGCATTCTTCAGCCTCTTTCCAATTGTCATCTGTGTACGGTCATCAAGAACAACTTCACCTCTCAAACCAGGTAGAGTCTCTTCCAAAGTGTGAACCAGGTCCTCAGCTAAGACTGCCGCCTTGTCCACTTTACTGCCCTTCTTTGGGGGTAAAACACACACCTGGTAAGGGGCGAGAAGCCCCGGCCATCGGATCTCCTCCTCTGTCGACATCACCTCAATGGCTGCAGCAAGAATACGGGTTACCCCAAGACCAAAGCAGCCCATCTCTGCAACACTAAGCTTGTTCTGGGCATTGCTGAAGGTGGCATTGAATAAATCAGAGTACTTTTTACCCAGGTAAAATGTGTGGCCGACCTCTATACCCTTTGACTCCACCAGTGTGCCAGTTTTGCACTGTGGGCAGTCAGATCTGTCTGATGACATGGTCTCTACATTGGCAGAGAAGGAGCAGTTCCCACAGACCAGAATCCTGTCCTCACCGATGTCTGCTGGCAGCTGAAACTCGTGGGAGAGTTTTCCGCCGATGTTGCCCGTGTCTGCCTGCACCTGAACGCAGCGCAGACCCAGCCGGGCGAAGAGCCTGGTGTATGCGTGGCACACGGCTTCATAAGTCTGGTAAGCTGCTTCTTCGCTCACATCAAATGAGTACATGTCCTTCATGTAGAACTCCCTCCCTCGAAGAAGACCGAACTTTGGCTTGGGTTCGTCTCTGAATTTGCGTGTGATCTGTTTTTAAAGAAAATAAATCATAATGTAAAAATCGTGGCTTTATTACAACAAATACACTGCTAGCAACCCGGGTAAAGTCTACCTGATAAAGAAGCAGAGGGAACTGTTTGTAGGAGAGAGTCGTCTGGTGCGCAATCAGAGTCGTAACTGCTTCCTCGTGTGTGGGGGCCAAGCAGTAGTCGACCCCGTGGCGGTCTTTCAGACGGAGCAGCTCCTTTCCCATCAAGTCCCAGCGCTCACTGGTTTTCCACAGTTCGGCTGAGCATAAACTGGGCATGTCCAGTTTCTGCCCTCCAATCCCCTGCATCTCCTGGTCAATGATTCTCATCTGTTGATTGTAAAAAAAAAAGCAGTTATTACACTTTAAGGATCATAACATAAACATTTACATTATTTCATCACTCTTATGTTCTAATGCACTGGTTCCCAACCTGAGCTGGGACCATCGACCAAGGAGTCGCAAAATCAATCTCAAATGTTTAAAAGAATATGGAAGAAGAAAACATATTTCTGCAACACATTATTATGATGATTTTTGCTGTAATCTTCTCGTTTTCTTATGAATCACCTAACATGTTTAGCTTTTCAGGCCTCTAAAAATCATCTGAAAAGGAAAAATGACTCAAACTGTTCACATTTTACAACCTGTGACAAGGGACCAATATTAGACATGGCTAAGAGAAACAGTGTCTTTATTCTGTTGTTCTTTTGTCTTTATAAACCGGGTCACACATTCATGTCAGAAAAAACTCTACAGAGACCAATCTTTATCAACATATTTGTTTGTGGACATGACACAACCACATTCACCAAACTAGTCTCACCAGCTTCTCCATGGAGCGGACGGTGGGAGGGAGGTAGTAGTAACAACCCGGGTTGGAGGGATGGATGAGCCCGGCCTGCAGCATGAGCCTTTGGCTCTTACAAGTCATCTCTCCTTGCGACCGACTGTCCTGCCCCACATCACGCAGGTTTGAAGGCTGGTAGAGGCGGGACACCAGGAGTGGGGGCCTGGTATGTCTGGAGTTGGTGGAGGCAGGAACAGCGACGTGCTCAGCACACCCTGAATGGCTCCTCCTGGGGAGCACCGAGGTTCTGTGGAGGCGCTGGAAGACTCTCGACCAAATCTGACTCATTATGGGCTCCATGGTAGATCCAGACCTACTAGATGAGACGAATCAGTTAGAGCTGAAATAATTAGTCGATGGACAAAAATAAAACATTTTCTGGTTTAAGCTTCTGAAAAATGAGTCAGTCAGACAAAACAAACAAACCGCAGTTTGTTGGTATTTTCTCTAAAAATCAACTAATCTGACAGAGTAGTGGTAAATGTTGTAAATCAGTGGTGGAGATATAACTAAGATCTGAAGAGTCTCAACTCTTGTTTTTGTTGTGTTAACAATAGTGATGTCACTTTAAAATGGCTATAAAATATGAAATCCATCTGCTTTTCTAACCCTCCGGTGTGCATAAACTACAGGCTGTGAACTAAATTTAAATATAGTACTGTGAAGTTATCGATTATCTGATCACCATCAGCCATGAGAAGAAGGTTAAATCTACTTTACTTTATCCATTTTATTCTGTTTATACTTCAACAAATATACTTTAACTGTTACCACTCTGAATGTGGACATGCTTAATGACATACTGAGTGATAATGCACTTTTACATAAGCAGGGTTTTGTTATGTCTTTATGCTTTTTTTATATTGTAGAACTCCAATCTTAACATAAGTAAAAGGGTCAGAGCACTTTTGGACACACATACACAGTAAATGCTAAATTAAAGGAAACTAAATGAGTAAACAGGTGAAGTCAAGGTCGTCAGATTATCTATTTAGTGCTTAAAATTAACCACATGTGTAAAAACATCAATTCAGGAGATGCATGTAACTTAAATCTTACCCGTAGCTAACTGTTAGCTTCCTCTGTTAGCACTCAACGACGTAACTTACGTACGCAGCATTAAAGACTCACCTGTGTGTCCGACAACTGCAGTTCCGAGTGGATTATCTGAGTAAATAAGCAACTAATTTAGATTTCTATGAAGTTAACAGCAACCATTGAAGCCATAACATTGAAGGTCCCTCCACCATGTTGCTTTCCTCAGCTGCCTGCCCGGAGGCTCGTCGCTCTAACGAGACCGCCCCCTGCTGGTGAGGAGGAGTACAGACACAGAGCCAGGGAGGTAAGATAATATTTCCTTTATTTGTCCCACAATGGGGAAATTCCAATGTTACAGCAGCAACGTGGATAGAGAAAAAACAACAACAGTATAAAAACAATAAAAGTAGGGAAATAATATAATATAATATAGACACTCATGTACTAACATAGAGAAAAAACAGTTAGGAATCCACAACAAGATAACACCAAAAAGTAGTTCAGCATGTGCAATAATATATGCAATATAATGCACAGTGAATATGGTATGGTATTGCACAGTAATTATTGCACATTGTTATTATTATTATTATGGTGGTTGTTGTTAAACAGTCTGACAGCAGCAGGAAGGAAGGTCTATGTAAAGGTATTATTACACTAATTAACAGCAAACTTTGTTAAATAGCACTATTTTTATTTAATTGGTTTGTTTGTTTTCTTTTTAGTACGCTATGAGTTGCATATTCTTATTATTTTATTTATTATAAAATTATAATACTAAAACGTCCGGGAAGTGGAATCTAGTAGGTGTACAGACAATGTTTGTTTATTTTCCTCACACATGTCCTTCCAGGCAAAATCTATTACTAAAATTGAGCTTTTAAGAGTATCAAATCAAATAATTGTGCTTAGATTGTGTTTAGATTAAAAGTTATGTCTCGTAATTCCCTAAATATGGGTATCATATCTTTTTATTTATACCTCATAAGGGTGTAGTCAGGTTTAGAAATGAGTACTCTTTCCAGCCTCCACTGGTGACGGCTGTGGGTGTTGCTGTGACATGGCAGCCCAGCGTTCATATTTGCTTATAAAAATGCTTATATTTATAGGAACACTGGCCTCACCATTCATGTTTTTATTAAGAACAAAAGTCTGAATATTCCCCTAA